TCTGTAACAGTTTCTTTATTATTACTATTTGTAATAATGGGGTATAATTGTATGCATCCAAAAGACCTGTGAGGAGTAAATACATACAAAGTACTTAGCTTAGTGCCTCATAGACAGCAAGCATTCAATACATGGTAGCTATTATTTACAACAAGAAAACTCAAAGTGTTGAAAGTATGATGATGAATGAGGTCATGAAAACCAGTTAAGGAATAAATTTTGGCACTATGATTATTAGAACTGTTTAGTAGAACTGCTCTAGGCTCTTCAGTGGTTGTAAGAATAAATTTTGGCACTATGATTATTAGAACTGGTTAGTAGAACTGCTCTAGGCTCTTCAGTGGTTGTAACTATTCAAGTTTTTCTACAAAGAGCAAAAATATTTCATTTCAAAATATTAAGATTTATAAGGAATTAGATATTTAAACTTGGCTAAAAATATAAAGCCTGTTTCTACTTCATATCAAAAAGACTAATAAATAAATCTAACTAAATAGTAAGACTTTCCCTTTTATTTTTCATTAAAATATTTCCAAAACTGTGGAAGCAAATAAACCAAATTATTTACAGTGGCTATGTAAGGAAGAAGAGATTAAGGTAGAAATCATCTTATTTTCTGAAATTTCTGTAATATGTATAAGTGGCTTTTATAATTAAAAATATTTTAAATTATTAAACTAAATTAATATGAGAAGAATTTCCATTTTATCATCATCCTAGGGCTATGAATAAAAAATAAATCCTTTCTATTTTTATTTCTAAAAGAAGGTTTAGAATATTCTTTTTGGAGTCACCTGACAATGATTTTCAATGACATTAGAATCGGCCTAAATCGTCACCAAATTCAAATAGCAGAGGTTGGCAGCTAATTAGTGGATCAAGGGGAAAGGAATTCTTAGGCTTATTTTTAGAAGTGTTTTAAAATGTCAGAATGTCAGGTTGTGTTAGGATTCAGGATCCAAGTTTAGAGGGATTCACATGAAGAATGCGAAGAATAACCACCAGGTATTTCTGAGGGTATCATGTGCACAGCACTTTGGTTCAAAGGCCTGTTATTAGAAGCTTAGAATGAATGAGTGTCGAGAATAACTCTCCTGTGCCCAGTACTCATGAAGCAAGACCTGCTGAGCAAGTGAGATACAGATGTACACATACCCAATTTGTCTGCTAGCCCCATCCTGGGAAGTCACTCCAACTCCTTCTCAGTCACCTCCCATGTCCAATTAGCTATGAGGCTGGGAGATTCCATCTCCTTGTTATAATACAAAGTGCCCCCTTTTAGCTCATGTACCTGTCCCCATATCTTCATTCCCAGCCTGCGCCTTTGTTCAATCCTCCCTTCACTCTACTGGGTTACTGGGGGCTTGTAATCCAACCTCTGTGGTGGAACCTGAGTGATGATTCTAACACACCGATCTGATTGTTCATTGTTGGCTTTAAGCCTTTCAGTGACTCCCCATCACATCCTGGCCTCCTTCACAAAGATCCCTCCACCTTGAATTAGTCTGTTTTTAGCCTTCCTGTGTCTAGAATATTCTCCTCTTCTTTCTAGTTAACTCCAGCAAGTCTTGCAAAACCTGGTTCAGCCAACTCCTCTCCCTTCAAGTCTTTAAAGGCTTCCCATTCTGATTCCAAGCCTTCCTCTACTCCCAAATCATCCCCATGCAGACCCCTACCATGGCATGTGTCACACTGTATTGCCATTCATGTCTCCAAGCGACATGGTACTTGGCAAGTTCTAAGGAATTTATAAATATTAACACATACACTCATCATAATATGTGGTTATTAGGAGAACATATAAGCATTTGCCCAACAAATGTATATTGAGCGTCCAGCAGGTGCTGGATACAATTTCAGGCAGTGGGGATTTAGAAGTGAACAAGACACACAAACTCCGATCTTACAGAATTTATAATCTGTTGAGGCAAATGAATGATAAACAGGTATATAGTATGAGTTAGTGAAAGGAGCTATAGAAAAAAAAAAATAAAGCCAGGCAAAGGGATGAAATGTGACAGAGGTATTATTTTAGATGGGCTGGTGAAACAAAGCCATGTGAGGAGGGGACATCTGAGCAGAGACTTGAGTAAAGCGAATGAGTGAGCCACGTGGATGGGTGTGTGGGGTGGAAGGGAATGATCAGGCAGAGGAAATAGCAAGTGTAAAGGCCCTGAGACAAGAACAGGCCCTGCCTGTAGAAGGAACAGCCATGACACCAGTGTCCTGGAATGCAGGGTGTGTGGCAGAAAGAGGTAGGTGATGAGATATTTGAAACAGGGGCTTAGATCAGATAGAGCCTTCGAGTTCATATTGAGGACTTTGGGGTTTATTCACTGATAGGTGTGAAGCCTGGTGGATCTGATCTGACAAGTCTTTTATGGGATCACTGGCTGCTGAGTGGAGAACATGGACTAGACGGAGTGAGTGAAAGCAGGTTGACCAGTGAAAAGGTGATCCAGAGAGTGATGATGGTAACTCAGAATCCCCACTATAAACTCTGGACACAATTTGAAAGCAGAGTAGACAGGGTTTGTTGATGCTTGGCGATAGAGTATATGACAGAGAGGAGTCCTGTGTGGCTCCAAGGTTTTGGTCAACTTGGTGGGCTGGCAGTGGCATTTGCTGAGATGGGGACAACTGAGGAAGAAACAATTTGAGGGCAGGGTTAGAAATGAAGCATTCTGTTTTGGACCCATAAGTTTGAATTGCTTTCAGGATTCAGTTTTGTCTTCTATGAAATGGGGATGTTTGTTTTGTACGTTTCTAATAAGAATCAAATGTTATCATTATCTTTTGATATTCTGTAGATGAAAGGTTTATTTTTATTCACACTGAAGCTAGGAGTAGAGTTCCCTTTAAAAGAACACAAACGAAACTCTTATTGGCTAGATAATGCTGTACTTACACAATTGTCCTCATATCAAGTTATGATCTTGGTAACAGACCCAGTCTCCATATTTATTTAACATTTATATAGAGCTTACTATATGCCACACACTATTCTAAGAGCAGTATAAAAATTAACCCATATAATCGTCTAAAATCCTTTGGGGCGTATACCATTATTACCCCATTTTACAGACAAAACTGCAGCACAGAGATGCCAAGTAATCTGCTTAAGGTCCCACAGCTAATACATAGCAGAGCCAGAAGTCAACCTCAGGTGCTCTGGTTTCCCTTCTAACTCCAGTGCCAAGCTCCACATTCCCTCCTCAGTGCGAGCGGTGCCATCTCTGATATATGACCCAGCCTCTTGTGTACTGAGAAGGTGCCTCCTAACACCGTCGCCTGCATCCCTGCCCTGGTCGACACTCCTGCCTAGGTTCTTTCAAACTGCCAGTATCAGTGGCAATACCTTCTTTTGTCTCAGATCTTCCCAGGCTGATGGTAGCCCCCTGAGCACTCAGTATCCTCTGTGCCTGCAAACTGCCAGTATCGGTGGCAATACCTTCTGTCTCAGATCTTCCCAGGCTGCTGGTAGCCCCCTGAGCACTCAGTATCCTCTGTGCCTTTCTTCTCTCTGAGGTCTGCTTCCTTCCTACATTGCCACACACAAGCTTTTTTGGTGTCCTGCTCTCTCCACCAACCCATATCCTGACTCGTTGCAAGCTGTTAGAATTTGTTTTAACCGCTTGCAAGTATGTGTCCGGTTTTCCACTCACATATTGCAGCATGTCCCACATGAAGCTGAATGATGAAGAGATGAATATGACAGGACCCCTGACCTCTCCAGAGATTTTGAGTTAAAGGTCAGGTCCCATGCCTTTCACTTTTGGGACCCCCTCGCCCCAGCACCAAGTGGGTGCAGAGCGAGCATTCAACGAATATTCATTTATTTATATAGTAAATGTTTATTGAGTGCCTACTACATGCCAGACAGGTAGTGAGATCGGAGCTGAGTAAATGGTGGGAGACGTGTGCGCGGGATTCCTACAGCTCCAGAGGCTCTGGGCGGGCCTCGCTCCCACCCCCCAACACCTTGGCAAGGGCTCAGGAAAGAAGCAGGGGCACAAGGAGGGGAGTAGGGGCCACGGAAGCAGGGTGAAAGAGGTCAAAGCGCCAGGCCATGGCATCTGGTCAGGGCGACTCAGTCTCTAAGCTGAGATGCAGACACACACCTTCCGCAGCCGCTTCCGGGAAACTCTGCCCGGCTGCAGCTGCTGAGCACTACAGCATCTATGCGGGCGCCAGCGTCGCGTGGAAAGCAGAGCTTGTCAAGACATGACTGTGTGAGAGGAAGGCAGCTGGACCATGCGTGCGCTAACGGAAGGATGGAGCACGATTGGAGCAGGCTTTTTTAGGAGAGAGAACTCTACCATTCACTGCTTACTCTGGAGCCGGGATTCCAGTCCTAGGACAGTTGCTCACCTGTTGTGTGACCTTGCCCAAGTCACTTAACCTTCCCAGGACATCATCGGTTAAATGGGTTTCCAATAACCTTAGGGTTGGTGCGAGGATTAAAAGAGAATGCCTAGAAAGCTTCCCTAGCAAGGTTCCCAGCAGGAAAAGCTCCCGGAGCGGAGGTTGTAATTACCCGCTGCTCACACCTCACTGGGTTCCCTAGCTTCTGCCGGGCGGGAGCGCCCGCTGCTTTCTTCCCAGGGACCGACGACTCACCCGTGAGGGTGCGCCCTGCCTTGATAGATTTATTAGCTTGCTTGGGGCGGGGATTGGAAAAAGGCGAGGTGAGGAAGGAGGTAGTGGAGGGCAAAGAAAGGGAAGAAGCGGAGGGGCAGGAGGCGAATGAGGCGAATGAGGCGAATGAGGCGGAGCCGGGGAGGAGTCGGGCTGGGTTCCTGCGCCCGCGGCAGCGCGCACCC